AACGCAAGATACACAATAATAATAATAATAGCCCCTAATATAATAATTATCAAATGATGCATTTATTATGAAGCAATTAAAAATACATTAAAAAAACAAAATTTTTGTATCTAAAGTTAGTTTTCGGTGTTATAGTCAGTAGAAGATTTAGTCTGCGTACTTTGAGCCAATCTTGAATTTTCCGTATATAATTACTAACTGGTACAATCTTCAGTGGTAACCCCAAAATATGTCTTGGCGGTCTACCGGTCGATAGCGATCAACGAAATGCCGACCCCAGATTTAGACAAATATTTGTCTTTTGTGTCGCAGTTGCATTCATTATGTGGGTTTACAGTACATGTTACATCCATCACTTGCGATTAAATCCCCCTCCCCCAGACTCTTCTACACCCTATGCACTCCCGTCTCCTTTCGGAAATCCATTCTTTTCTGTTTCTTGTTTCTCCCTCCTTCATTTTTGGAAGAAGATAATGTTATCATTGAAAAGAAATGCTATTATTCTAAATTCGAAAAAAAAAAACTTTATATTTTAAGTTTTGGGATACAAGCATACACCAAATTTATTGCATATTTCATTATATATAGGGTAAACCAAAGTTTTGCCCTGATTATAAAAATTTATTTTTTTCTTCGCCCATTTACCTCAGTAAGTTGCAACGGGGCCCGTTTGTCGCTCCAGTACTGTCAAAGTGGTATTCCAGTTCCCATTAGGTGTTTCTTAACGTGTCTTTTGTTACACTGCCTGTTTTTTTTAACACTCCAATGTAGCGTATTTTTAATTATAGCATCATGACAGATATACATCAAGACGTCCATAACAGTTCATTTAGCGAAACCAAAGAACACATTAGGTTTTCTCTAGAATCGACGCCATTTTGAATAAAAATGATGTCTTCATGACAAATATTCCCCGAAGTCCTTCTGGAAGGCACAACCCCAGCATCTATTGTACAAAAATAAATATGCACAGTAAATATAAATTAAAATATTAAGAGACAAAATTGTACTTCCTACAAGGCTAAAAATGAAAGAAATATAATTTTAAGAAACATGTTAAGAAAATAAATGGTGCAAAAGAATAGTGTACTAAAATTAGATAAAAACAGGTAATACAGGAAACACAGGTTTTGAGCTCTTAAAATTGAAGATACTAAAATAGTCTTTGGACTAAAATGGAGACCTATTATGTATTTATATTGTCACTAAGTTAGGCAATTGAAGTTAGGGTTAAGCAATGCTTTATGGGTCCATCTTCCCAGTACATCAGCAGTTTTCGACATAATACAAAAAACAAAGCATGCATCTATCTATCTATCTATCTATCTATATATATATATATATATATATATATATATATATATATATATATATATATATATATATTAAGCAGTGAACAATACTAAGTAACCTATCAGGTCATGCAAAAGATTTAGCTTAGTGGTCATGTTTACGGACTCGTGGCCAACAAATCAATAGTCCAAGCAGCACAAATGCCTTTAGTGATCCACCGTGTAGAGAATCTGTATACGTTCAATCAGTCGTTTCTTGACCATAACCGTTAGGCTACTATACCCTTATGAGTTTTACATGACGGTATTTTTCTTCTGATAGCAAAATTTGTTAAACATAGTTTGGGAAAGTTCTTAGTACGGAGCATAGTGAATTATATTAACGTTTACTTAGAAAAAAAAGTATTTATTATTGGCAAATATTTTTTTGCCGATATTTTTATTTCATGCGAGAGCAGTAATGTTTATAACGAAAACGGAGGGAATTGACACCTTGGAAGCAAATTATGATTAATGGCGTCACTGTGGTTTTAATTTTTGTTTTTTTATATCTCATCCTCTCTTTCCTATTTATTCAATAAAATGGCGCAATGTAATGCAAAAGTAACAGCTGCGATGTTTTGTTCCAAGATTCTGTGGAGTTTCTTTGGGTTTCTTTTATTTCTATGTTTGGGAAAGAAAAGTAAAAACAAGCGATATTCTTTTATGGGTAAAAGAATATGGGGAAAGAAAAACATCGTTTTTCTTATGCTATCATTGTGTGTTATAAGAAAATTAAACTTTTTTTTTATTTTAAAGAAACACATTACACTTTGATGAATGGAATTCTAAGCATTTTAATAAGCACAACGAATATGGGAAATAATATCGTTTGGGGCAAAATGACATCGATGTTTATAAGAAAGATATTTTTATTACTGTTCCGTTTTAGCTGAAATAATAAAAAGAAATAATAAAAAAAATTTATATTCTTCAATGATGCATCTACTTTTCACAGAACATATTGATTTTTTGAAATTATTCCTTCTCAGAGCCACCGGTAATTCGATGGTTTTTTAAGAATTTATACATTACAACAGAATATTAATTTACAATTTGATTAGACTGAAGAAAATCCGCATTAGAGAGGATAGACCTGACGAAGAGCTCTTTGTTATACAGCTTTTAGCTTTTTCAACTTCACAGAAGAGTTCATTTATATTTTAGCAAAAAAAGTTATCTTTGGTCGCCATGGAGACGATTTACTTCTAGACCTCACGCCCCCGGTTGCGGGCAACTAGCCAAAAAAAACTTATATGTTTTCTTTGTATTGACTAATTTTTGTACCTCGTGCTTAATTTTATTAATTGTAATTCTTTCACTCGCGTGATTACATTATATTATTTATTTTATTGATAAAAGTTAACTGTAAATATAGTTATGTATAAAAAGTTCTGGAACCTTTTCGATGGCAATATATAAGAAAAGGACTTATTCAATCTTCGCGACAGTATTACATTCAATAACCTAAGTTGTTTTTCTTGTCGTTGCATTTCATGTATATCAATCTATACTACTGATTTCAAACTCTAAAAGTAAACTTATTGTTAATTGATAGAAATCCTTAGCTAATAAATAAAAATTGCTATGAAGGTGGGGTAGGCAACCAGTGGTCCCTAGACAGTCAGAAATCCCACTTGAAACTGTTGGATTTTTCCCCTTATGTGATCAAAAATTCGTCTTGTATTTTCCACTATTAGGAAAATGCAAATCTTTTATTAGGAAAACAAAATAACTGAAATTATTTCAAGTAAGATATGCGCAGTGTTTGTAAGACGAGATCACCAGATCTCAAAATGTTAAAACAAAAGAGCCAAATTGCTCAATTACTGCATATATTGATACAGCACCTAAGGAACTACAGCTTGCTTGATTTGAAGTCATATCACAGCCTTTAATGTGATGACACTGACTATTCTAAATATTTATCAGCTGTAACACTTCCATGTATGAAGGAATTTTCTTTATATTTCTTAGGAAATTGCTCTTTATATTTTAGCCGACATGTATTTGTTAGAAATGTTTCCTTGCATGAAGATCAACAATTGTGAATATTTAACTAAAAGTACTACAAGAGGACATTAACTGGCATGCTGTCATTAGAATTTAATTAAACAATATCGCTCTTGATTTAAAAAAAAAGATGTGGAAAGTGTTGTTACTTAGATCCGGATTCAAGGATTTCATGCGAAACAATCACAAATGAAATAAGCAGTTCTTTAAGAGCGATGTGAATTTATTATCGAAAATCCAATTCTCTAAATTCAGGATTCAGCAGCAATATTCACAGGGTAAATATCCGAAGGTCTTCACACCTTCGACATCAATCAAACACAATCACCAGTGCTTAAAAATACACGTACGTAAGGATTATTCACAAGACCGAGCTAATCTCGCTAGTCAAAACAATCCTCACTACTCGCTGGCTTAATCAAGACTCTCCACCGTAACGGCGAGCATCTTCTTTTATAGGCGCGACAGAAACTTCCAGAAATATAACCGCTCGTGTCATTGAACGTGACACAAGTGGAGAGATCTACTACTTTCTAGAAGATTCCAGAGGGTTCCGAACTCGCCAACACGGTCGCCAAATTTCGCCAAGTTCTCATTGAATCGCCATTATAACGTAAGGGGCGGCATTGCTCGTGAATAGTACAATTTTAAAATGAAATAAATATAACATATAGTAATATAAATGCATTAAGCACTAAAATACAAATTATTTACACTATTTACACAAAATTCGTAACAGTATGATAGGGTACATTTGTCTCATTCACCGGATTCCAAAATTAAAAGTATTTGCAACTATAGACAATATTAAAGTAAAATATAAAAATAATAAAACTGCCACTTTGCCGCTCCAACCAATATGGTGGTTACGACACTTGACTTGTAATCGAGTGGGCTCGGGTTCGAATCCCGAATAAGATATTAATGTATTTTCGGGAAAAGAGGTCGGACTTTCGCCTGAAATGGATTCCCTTCTCGAATGGAAAGTGCAATGCACCCTTTCTTTTCTATGCTGAGATCATCGTTTATAATAAAGTATTTGTATTGTCCTGTGATTGTATTGAATGTTTCTGTTTACCTCTCATCTTTCGCGTGAATCCCAGGACAAAGAGCATACGACAACAACCAACACTCTATTTTATTCAACTTTTTATTATTTTTTTGATAACTAATGCAATCCATTTGAAAAGAAGCGGACCTCCAGTATATCCTCCGCTCTTACAATGTGGCCTGCGAGAGTGGGAAGCTGCAATAAAGAGGATTGCACAAGAACCAAAAAATACATGCCAATTTTCATAGTGATTGGTTGAGTGAGTGAGTGAACATTGACGTCGCATTGTTCAGCTACACAAGGGTTTTTGGCGACGGACCTCGTATTTTTGAACTATGGTCCATTGACGAGAACGACACCTGAGCTGGTACCCCCTCTCCTAACTATCACACCACACCAACGGGAGAACTTTTTAGCTCTTGACCGATTTAACGTGCATCGCCCCCCTACACGGCAGGTCTTTAGTGGTACTTCGCTCAAATTCATGACATAATCCGATCCCTTAAACACTGTGCTACCGCAGCCCCCTAATGATCTGTTGAGCAGTGTTGTAGTGAATTGAAGTCATAAAAACAAACATTTATATATAATATATAGATAGATAATAAGAAGAGGAAAGAAGAAGAACGGCTAACTCACTCAATCACTCATCACGTGATCTATGGAGTGAGTGAATATTAACGTAGCACTGTTCAGCTACACGAGGGCTTTTGGCGACGGACCACGTCATTTTGAACCATGGTCAAGAGGCGGGGACAACACCTGAGCTGGCACCCCATCCCTTCTCCTAACTACCACACCACACTAACGGGAGAACGTTTCAACTCTCGATAGATTTAACGTGCATCGTTGCCCAACACGGCGGGTTTATAGTAGTACTAGGCTCGAATTCATGGCACGCCTGTCATGATTCCGTACATTGACCACTGGGCTACCGCAGCCTTACGTGATCTATCGAACTAACAGACTTCAAATCTTATACGTGTGTTCCTTTCATGAAGTAGAAGGGGTTTTGTGAAATTCGACGCCCAAGGGGCATTGTGAGAACTTAAGTAGCATTAAACATCAAAATTCCTGTATTTGATCTATTAGACGTAGATACTTGAAATTAAGTCGGCGCATTCGTTTCATCAGGTAGGCATCTGTATTTTTATATACATTCTGTTGAATACAGCCTTATTAAAAATTTGACATTTGCCATTGATTTTAAAGTTAATAAATTGTGATTTTTTTCTTATACAGATTGTCTTGATTTTCTTGATATGCTTGCAGCCAAAATATTTTTAAATTTAATCTTCTTGGTTGATTGATTGAATATTAACGTCGCACTGTTCAGCTGCACGAGGGCTTTTGGTAACAGACCAGGTAATTTTGAACCATGGTCAAGTGACGAGGACGACAACTGATCTGGCACCCCCTATCCTAACTACCACCCCACACCAACGGGGGGACGTTTAGCTCTCGACAGATTTAACGTGCATCACTACCCTACACGGTGGGTCTTTAGTGGTACTGGGATCGAACTCGTGACAAGGCAAGCCACTGTCCGATACCTATACCAATCGGCTACCGCGGCCACTTTAATCTTCTCGGATAAAATCTTTTGAATTATCTGACCACTTAACCAGGTATTTTATATGATACTGTAAGGCTATACATTCTTTTCCCATGCAATATTATTGCAAATTGTCCTTACAGTCATTATCTGTAGTTTTAAAAAGCACTGGAATTTCTATGCCGGATGTGGTTCATCATTTACTCCCCCGTAGCCTCATTTGTAGTGTGTTCCCTCAAACATGATTTTTCACGCATCTCCACTCATTAAATGTATGAAACTTTTTTAAAATTTCCCAAGTCTGCAATTTTATTACCCATAACACCCTGCAGCCCCTTTGGGACAGATTTCTGTAAGGCCCTCTCTTTCTTTACTCGGTAGAACAAGTATGGTTGCCAATTTCAAATTCTGTAACTCTTACTGATCAAAAACAGAAATTTTTACATGTACTCCTCGCATCCTCTCTAGGAAATCGATTTCCATGAAACCATTTTTAGGGAATCTTTATTCGACGAAAGAAACACGCGTAGACAATTTCAAATCTGTTGGTTAAATTGTTGAAAAACGGGAATTTTTGTCTGTAACGCGAATGTAGCCTCACCTTGACAGTTGATTTTCGAAAACCCCATTATTAACTGACTGTTGGTATAATGATACTGGAAATCTCGGGATGAGTAAATGAGTGAGTAATTCGCTTTTCTTTTATATATAGAGAGGTATTAAATAATACGGATATGGTATATAAATATATACAAGGTGAATCTAAACTCTGCTGTAAAACTTTGGGGGTGATAGTACACATCAAGACAAACAATAGTAAATGGGAAACTTAGGGTCCCAAACCTCTTTCAAAGGAGTTCTTTTTTCAAACCCATTAAAGTTTTGGTTCCGAAATTTCAAATGATTGTAAAAAAACGGAAAAATGGATCGATTCGTTAGTGGTTTTCGCTAAAATTATTCTTTTTTGTCAGCATTTTCATATACAGTTTCTTATATGTTTTCAGTATACAGTTTAAAGATAAAGCTCAAAACATGTCGATAGAGGGTGCTATATACTTTGGAGTAACGCACAACTACTTTTTACTGCTATTTTTTGTATCACATTAAATGATTTCAAAATCTTAGACATAAAAACTTAAATTTTGAGCTCCAAATTTGAATCGTTGAGGGTGGTTAAGTAGCGCAAACTCAACTGTATTCCGAAGGTGGAATTTGAACTTCCCTCCTTCCCCAGACACAGTTCAGTTATTTACGATCTTACAATTAGATGCTCGGTCGTTGACTAGGCAGCAGCTACTACCCACTAAACGTAAAATAAACGAGAGAGAGATGACAAAATTAAATAAAAAAGTTATTCACACAAAAGACATGCGCAGTTTCTCCCCGCAAAATACTCGATTATGCAAATCACCCGATTAGCATGCAAAGTGTAGCATACAAGGATTTAACTGTATGGGACCAATATTGTATGTAAGGATGTAAAGTTCTACTGCAAAGTGTTCCAGCCAACATAAAGGCTCGTATGTGGTTCCAAAATGACGGAGCACCTGCACATTTCAGCGCAGATGTGCGAAGTGCATTGGATACAGCATATCCAGGGCGATGAATTAGGCAGGGGGTAAATTGGCCGGCACGCTTGCCAAAACTCTGCTACCTAGACTTGTTCCTCTGGGGCCATGTGAAGAGTATTGTTTACCCAAGCGCCGTCGACTCCGATGAGGCCTTGGTTCCGAGAATTGCCATCGTAGCAAGCGAAATCCTGGAGATGCCCAGTGTATTTGCTAATGTTCGACATTCCCTCCGCCGGTGGTGTGAGACCTGCATCTTTACTGGTGGGCGCTTTTTCGAGCAGTTTTTGTGATTTCGCAAAAAAATCATGCGTGTATCATTTTCTAAGTGTCATTCATTCAACCTTAATCAAATTGTTTATTTTTCTTTTGAGCAGAGAAGTTGCTCATGTCTATTATGAATATTTTTTAATTTCTCGTTTACTTTACGTGTAGGAGTTGGTAATTGCTGCCTGGTCTATGACACTAAGTCATACAACAAGATCGGGAATAACTGAACTCTGTTCAGAGGGAAGGTAGTTTCAAACTTCACCTTCTGAACACAATTCCATTTTCGCTACTTAACCACCACCAACGATTCAAATTTTGAGCTCAAAATTTAAATCTAAGTCTAAGCTTTTGAAAGCATTTAATGTCATACAAAAAATAACGGTAATAAATAGTTGTTGGTCACTCCAAATTATAAAACACCCCTTTATCGACACTTTTTTGAACTTTATCTTTTCAATTTAATTTTAAAAAAAATACTGACAAAGAATAATTTTAGCAAAACCCGCTAACGATCGACCCATTTTTTTGTTTTTTATAATCATTTGAAATTTCGGACCCTAAACTTTAATGGCACTTATCTCCTTCGGAAGACGTTTGGGACCCTAAGTTTCCTATTTACTATTGTTTGTCTTGATGTGCACTATAACCCTTCAAAGTTTTGCCTCAGAGTTTAGATACACCCTGTATATAATGACTTTCTCCATTTCTATATATAGCTAAACTAAAACATAATTGGAAATTAATAGAATGGTTTTGTTACGTTTGTGTTTAACCTTTTTAGATATTCAGAATATTCTTGGGAACTGTTATGCGTTATATTTTCCAATACCATGTTTTTAAATTTATTTTTTGTTATGCTCCTCGTATAAAGATAAAGTTTTATGCATAAGGTGAAGATAATCGACACCGGAGAAGTAAATTATGATAAATGGCATCAGCGCTAGAAAGAAGTTTATTTTTCTTTATCAACTCCTCTAGCGTCTTTCATTCAAAAGGCTGGTGAGAAAATACACAGGCTAAGAAGAATGGCGACATCTGCGCTGTTTGGTCTTAGCTTTTTTGAATATTCTTTTTTCTTCTAGAGCATAGAAAAGAAACAACGCCTATCCACTCATACTGTGTAGTTGAGAACACATGCAGAAATAAGGATAAGCCTGAATTGTTATTGAAATTTCTGTTAGAGGTCATAGTTTGAATTATGGATAAGAAAATACCTATTGTAAATTCTCCCTGGATCTCTGGAGTTTCTTACTTATATTATTTCATCTGTGTTGAGAATTTTTATATTTATGGATGTTTTTTCATAGGGAATTCCATAACACAAAAATTTCCAAACTTTTTTGGCTCATTGACCCCTTTACCATGTTTTTTGGTTTGCTGTAGACCCCTTATTACGTAATACTAAATTTTTCCAAATTTATCAACCTAAATGTGTATATGAAAGCCAGTACAGAGCTAAATACTTTAAGAAGAGTCG